GTTCATGATTTTATAGATAAACATAGAGATGAATTTTTCAGGATCTTTCCATCATTAGAAATTCCTTCCAAAAGAACCTGTTAGCTTTGATGCTTCCCAAATGAACTAGACTAAAGTAACCTAAAATAACTTCTTGGGACCAGATGCACTTGAGAGTATGGTCCAATGTTATTCATAACCTTAAAAGCTCTTTTTGTCTTTTTTCATTGCTCTTATTATTTACGTGCTCCCAGAAAATATATTTTATTTTATTTTTATTTTTATTTTTATTTTTATTTTTTTAGATTTTAAAAGCACTGGTTGAATCTCTTTGTTTGGAAAAAAGACATCATGAGCAGTAGTATAGTAATCAACTATTGTATCGGTACTAAAGTCCAGGCACAGTTGATTAGATGCCTGTTCATCTCCATTTCCCAACCCCCAGCAGTTTGCTTGAGGGGAGGAGGATGCATTTTGTCTCATCTCCAACTGCAGCATAAGCTTAGAGCAGATTTAATTGTCACATTACTTTACTTTAGATGCAGGAACAAACATCCACCTGGTCACATAAGGTAATTCCTGATTGCAAAGCCTCCTACCTGCCCTCTCTTTCCCACACATATCCAAACCCTGAGATTACCTGCTTCAGCTACTTTGCAACTACTCTTAATTGTAATCTGTTTTCAGTGTTAAACACTCCCAACCGTGGTCATATTTTCTTTTTCTTCCTCCTCTTTCTCCGTAGGAAACAATACACTGTTATGTATAAGAGTGTAGATTTGGATGCATGGGCGGCTCAGTCGGTTAAACCTCGGAATCTTGATTTCGGCTCAGGTCATGATCTCGCAGTTTGTGGGATTGAGCCCCACATTGGGCTCTGTGCTGACAGTGCAGAGCCTGCGTGGGATTCTCTCTCTCCCTTTCTCTCTGCTTCTCTATCCTTCATGAGTGCATGTGCGCTCTCAAAAAAAGAAAAAAAAAAGGGTACCGACTGAAGCGACATCTGGTGAAAAGTTGAAGGCAATTAATTTAATCCCTCAAAGCCTGAGTTTGTTATAACAGGGTTAGAACGAACATTAAAGAGTATTGCGAGCTTTAAATTGGATAGTGCATCAGCTATTATTGTGGCTATTACTGGTTTCCTGTCATAACTCAGTAGAAGTGAATTTTTAACCATGTCATGGTCCATGGGATCAGGGTGCAAGGTAAATGCTCACTTTCAGGAATCCAGGCCTTTTCCATTTGATGTCTTAATCATTTTTAGGCCCTCTCAGTCCTTTGCTGGATCCTCTTCTTTCCAGTTTGCAGGCAAAGAAATAGAGAGAGCATGGAACATTGTCTAAGTTGCAAACCCAAAGGTCATGCACATCCTCCCTCACACATTTCATTGGACAGAAATCCATCATATGACCCAATCTTCTTAATGCAGAAGAGCAGGGAAATGTAATCTGTTTGTATGCCCAGGAGGAAGAGAACACAGATGTTGGTGAACATTTCAGCAAGCCTCTGCTGTGATTATCACTTGGATATAAAATCAACATATTTTTGTTAATTGGCACAACCTCTAAGCATTCCTTTGATGGTTGTTTGCTTTGTTGAAGTTTAACAAAGCCAAATCCAGAAATCAAAGGGTCTTGCAGTGATTGGAAACAATTTAACACAAAGATGTTACAAATGCTTAAAATTTATAGCGCTTTGTATTTTTACCAAAAAAAAAATGAACATTTAAAAATAGTTATTTTTTATACCCAAAAATCTTTCATGAGCCATAATAATTGACACAGAGTACATGAGTCATGTTTGGCCCCAGTTGGCACCTAAATTAATATACAGATTAAAGAACTGGTAAGTGGAAAATAAATCAGATATCAAATATCCCTGTTTAGTTATCTTTATTTTACTCTTTATTTTTAATTAAAATGTGTTGCATTTCTAAATTTTTAAAAAGTGTATTTTGAAGACAGAAACTGAATTTAGTAATTGTGTGTTCTCTTAAATTTTTATTGCTTCTGATCGAATCTGAAAGTGGAAGTCACCATGCATTTGGGAAAGAAAACTTCAGAAACAGGAAATGCTTTTGGTCAGCATACCTAATATAGAAAAGTAGGTTTATTAATACAATTTCGTCTTCCATTTTGGAAGATGATTTTCCTAGGGAGAAATATGTCTATATGGGCCAATGGGGAAAGAGAATAGACCAACTGAAATAATTTTTGAAAAGAAATAGAATATTAAAATAAACAGAGTCATCGTAGATGCGGTAAACTACTTCAGTACTGCTCTTGAAGCCAATATGTTATTGAACCACCCACACAACCATCCATCCATTCCTTTTTTCATCCATGTAGTGAGTATTTAGGTTAGATCTTGTTACAGAAAGTTTTCCTTAATATTAGGTTCAGTGTTATAGCAGTTTTTGATTTAGGTTTACGTATACAGAGATATGTAAATGGATATAAATAATGAGAAAGATATAATTCAATCAGTAAAACATTAGATGTTGTATTGTCTTATAATGAAAAGTTTATTTGAAATGCAAGTTTTGTTATTTTTCGTGAAAAAACTTAACTCGGAGCAGTAACTAGTCAATTACCTCCCAGGAAAGTTGTATCAATCTTGTCTTCTGCCAACTATATGCAGTAGGATTTTTCTATCTTTTCTTTAAGTTACCAGTTTAAAAGTTTTGGTCACTTAGTGGGTAAAATATAATCCTAATTGTAATTTTTTTATAACTGTGAGGTTGTGTAGGTTTTTTTCATATCCTTTGTTCACATGTGCTTTCTGTGATTTTTCTCTTACTAAAACTTACTGATTTTTCCAGGTGACCTTTGATACCACTTAAACGCTGCTGATGGCATTTCTCAGTAATCCAGGCTTTCATTGATATCAACCATGTACTTATAAAAGTTTTGTTGTTAATGGTAATCTGTAAACAGAGATGCTTTGACAAATGCGAATAAAATTCAATTTACTTGATTTTCTACACAAAGATTGCATTGGGATAAGCAAAACACTATTTATTAGGCTACAGTCAATCAACCATACCATAAATATTGATTAACTTCTTCAGAAATCCAAACCTGATTAGTAAATAATTATCAGTATGCCTCTTATTTACTTGGCATCCTCTGAAAACATGATAGGCTTCCTTACTTGGCCTCATGCGGAGTAAGCCTAAATTAGTTATTTTTAATCTAACGGTTCAGAAAATCATATTTTCTCCATACTAGTTACCTTTGCCTTCCTCAAAAGCAGGAGTGTTGAGTTTTACTTTCTGAAACTTACATAACTGGAATGTGATGTAGTGGAGTTTACATTAAAATTGCGTTAAGTAATTCTGATGAAATAAATTTCAAAGCAGGCAATTTTAGTAAAATAAAAAAGGAAATACATTCCATTGTCACTCAACACAATAAAAAAAAGATATCAGAGATTTGTACCCTGTTCCTGGATTGACAGTGTTAAGTCAAACATCACGTGTTCTAGTCCCGTTTCTTTCTCCAGGGACAACTGCCCTCTCACCTAATGGAGCGAGCATTATCTTCCGTTTATCTCATCGGTTATCTTCCGTTACCGCATCCCTAGAGTCTTACTAAAGGCTCACTAGTACATATTTTAGGCTCTGCGGGCCATAAATAGTCTGCTGAACCTTCTCAACTCTTTCCATCAACAAAGTGTAAATGAATCGAGGTAGCTGTGTTCCAGTAAAACTTTACCTTACGAAGAGGTATCAGCCCAGATTTGGCCCACAGGCCAACTGTGGCCAACTCTTGACACATAGTATTAGCCGGTGTGTTTCTTAAAATTTTGTAATAGCATCAAAATATATTTTGGCATGTTCTTACTCTGAACATCAGGGTTTTGAGATTTATATTTGTACATGTCGATCTCATTCGTTCACTTAGCATGCAATGTAAAATTGTTTATCTTCTCTTTTAATGATGGGTATTTATTTGTTTGCAGTTTTCCACTGTTTCAGCAAAGCGGCAGCGATCATTCTTTATCTTCTTTCCCTGTGTATATGTGCAAAAGATGCCCAAAGGTACTGCAGTGGTATTCAGAATACTTATCAGACTCTGTGTGTCTAAGTTAGCAGCTCAAAAGACATGTGCTAGTAGATGAAAATCAGGGATAGCTTAAATCTCAGTGAACTTTTCTGGTGAATCTGGACAGCATCAAAGGGTTGAGGCTATTCTCTTTTTCCGCAACCCCTCATATTAAATATTAGATAATGAAAATGGTGAATTGAAACACTGTGATTGATATATTTAATTTTTATATTATCAGAACACAGAGGATTTTTTGAGGGGGTGGGGCATAGGGAGAGAGAGAGAGAGAGAGAATGCATCTTAAATGGGCTCCATGCCCAGAGTGGCATGCCTGATGTGGGACTCAATCTTACTGCCTCACTATTGTGAGATCATGACCTGTACCAAAATCAAGAGGCTGATGCTTCACTAACTGAGCTACCCAGACATCCCAGGCTTTATTTTTAAAGGTAGAAATCTGAATTATTTCTGGCTGAAAAACACAGACCTTTCCTGCCAAGGACTTTGATAATTTCCGTGATAATCTGCAGTGGTTCAATCAAGTACCATTTTATGTTTGCTTAATTTTATGTTTCCTTTTGTGTTCAAGCCAGCTAACTGAAAAGATAGCATTTATTCAAGATTCATAAAAACAGAATACAAGTTTTCTTTTTTGACCTAAGACTCTTCTGTCACCAGATAGGTTTGATCTGCAAGATTATATCCTTCTGAGTTCTTTGCCTATAATTCAGATAAACTGCCACTGGATAGACAGTGGAAGTGATACTTTCTGAAATAATGCACATGATACCACAAAATTCCAGGAGTATAAGAGAATACACACAAAAAAGTAACTCTTGGGGCACCTGGGTGGCTCAGTCTATTAAGTGTCCAGCTGTTGACTTCAACTCAGGTCACGATTTCACAGTTTGTGAGTTCGAGCTCCACATCAGACTCTGTGCTGGCAATGCGGGAGTGTGCTTAGGATTCTCAATCTCTCCCTCTCTCTCTGTTCCTCCCCCGCTTGTGTGCTCTGTTTCTCTCTCTCTCAAAATAAATAAATCAACTTTAAAAAAAAAGGAATTCTCCCTTGACTACTTCTCTCATGAGATTCTTCAGCCCTTTTCCAGGGACATCCAGCACCCAGACCAATTGTGTTTTGTGATTGGAATAGATTGGCTTCCTGCAGAAGTACACATGAAACACACATGTTCATGTCTTCCCTTATCATTTCTCTACCAAAATAAAATGCATTATCCCAACAACCAAAGTATATTGTTACTTTTGATCATTGATAGGTATTTTCAGAGAAAGTTGTTATGAAATACAAGCATCTAGGCACAACTTGATTTTTCTCTCATTTTCTAAAATTTTGCTTAGATTATGAAAAGTTTATTGATTCATTATCTATAACATTTTCTAAAATTTTGCTTAGATTATAGAAAGTTTATTGATTCGTTATCTATAACTTTTGCTATTTTCAATGGGTCCTAGAATTTTGTGTTTGTATATGTACTATATAACCATGAATTCATATGTAAGCTCTAAGTCTCCTGGTATTTCAATCTGTTTTTCAGGTTTGTTTCTATACCTAGAAATGGTCTACAAAGCTCTTGGAAAACAATCAGTGTTTTTACATGACCCCAACACATGCCAAAACAGTAGTTACTCAATGCCTAAGTACATACGGCAAAGCCAGCAAACAGACTTATAAATAAGGGACATAAATTTAAGCATCATTTCTGTTTACAACTGGGTGATGTTTTCATTATTACGTGGTAAGCAAACTATCTGTAAGAGACTACAACTTTTTTTTTTTTATGTATTGTGTAGCCAGGATATCAGGATAGCTTTCTACAGAATTATTCTCTGGAAAGTGGAGAACAACTTCAAGAGAGGATCTGAACAATAAGAACATTTTATGTTTTCAAGACACTGAAAAGCAGGCTGACAACTAAGGCTAATTCTGAGATTTTTGACATCAGAGCCATAGAAGAAAAAATAACTGGGAGTGTTTGCATTTATCATTAAGTTCTTACTTTATTTTTCGTTCTTGTTGCTTCTGGCCACATCAGACTTTTGGTAGAAAGTGTACCTTTTTTTATTGTTCTTTGGAAATAGAAACCTGAAAGAAGTAATCAAGAATAGACTATGGCTGGCTGTGCTTCTCAAAACTCAACTGCTACTTGGCTCCTAGGGAACATTATTTCCCCATTACATGTTCATTCATGAGTCATTAATTCAAACTCAAATATATGACTGTCATTTTACAAGCTATGCAAGGGAGATAATCCTTAAGTCACCGGGCTTGAGGCTTTCTTGTGTGCATTTTATCAGGCCAGTAGGTGCCCTTCTCTTTTGCACATTTGCTTGGACACACTTCATTCATCAGAAGATTCTGTGCCATTTGCCACTTCCAAGTCCGAGTATGTGACTGCAAGAATTAGAGAGTTTTATTCCTCCCTTCCTTCAGACTAGTGAATGCCTAATTTTAAACAAACTATTTCTGCCAGTTTCTCGGTTTAATCCCTGTTGCCGTGATTAAGTAGTCCAAAACATTCTTCAATGACGTCTGAGGCTTTGGAATTTAAAAGTAAATTGCTTCGGGGAAAAACAAATCAAACTTGCATTTCAGACCTACAGAAAGTGCATTAAAACATATTACGCTGCACTTTCTTGGTGGAATAAATTGAGAGTCACAGTAATGTTTCTTCTAGCAATGTCAGATTCTGAGACACTTCGATTAATTTTGGCTTTAGATTGAGTTTCTCTCCAACACTCCACTCTCTATTTGATGTGTCTACATTTTTCATTGTATCCAATGGCAATTTATGCCATAAATTATTGGCTTTGGATCCAAAAACTCAGAGTAGAAAGGTGAGGCAATATACTAAAAAGAGTGCATGGAGAAGATACGGATTTGATTTGATTTCCCATTACTGATTTGCTATGGGACACTGGGAACACTGTGCTACCTTAGCGGGCCTTCATTTGTACCACCCTTCCTGTCCATCTGTGATGGTGTCATGGCTGTTGTGTTACCTGTGAGGTATCTTCTGGTGTGAGATGGTGGGGTTGGTGGTAAGAAACACTCTAAACCCCTCCAGTGTCACCTAGGTACCTTGCATGCCCTGTTTGAGAAAGTGAAAAAGAACAGCTTAGTACAGTGTGGTTTTGGGGGGAATCCATTGCATTTTGTTGCTTAAATCAAGAAATTAAATACCTTACTTTTTCTAGCAATAAAGAGGAAATTAGTATTTACCTTTTAATTTACATTAAAAGTTATGTTGCAGGGGCACTGGGGTGGCTTAGTCGGTTAAGCATCTGATTCGTGATTTCAGCTCAGGTCATAATCTCACAGACATGAGATCGAGGCCTAGCTGGGCTCTGCAGTGAGCAGGGAGACTGCTTAAGATTCTTGCCTTCTCCTTCTGTTCCCCCGCTGCTTGCATATGGTCTCTCTAAAAAAAAAAAAAAAAAAAAAAGTTGCAGTTTAAATTTTAAAGTTTATTGTACTAAAGTATAACATATTTACAGAAAACTGTGCATATTATAAATAGCTTGATAAATTTTCACAAGCTGACTATAGCAACACCCACAAGAAGCAATACATTACCAGCCCCCAAAATGACCCCTCATGATCTCTCCTTGTCACCACCCTTCCACCCCCTAAGGATAACTATTATCCTAACTTTTAACACAGACTAGCTTTATCTGTTTTTGTGCATTATATAAGTGGGATCTTATAATCTGAACTCTTTTATATCTGATATTTTACTCAAAGAGGTTGGTAAGATTCACCCATACTATTCCCTGTAGATATAGATTATCCATTATCATTGTTGCATAGTACCCTTTAGGGCGAATATGTCATAATTTTTCCATTCTAATGTTGCCAGGCATTTAGACAGTTTCCAACTTTTGCCCATTACTAACAATGCCACTATGAACATTCTAGCATGCCACGTTATAGACTTTTCTACAATGATAGAAATATTCAGTATCTGTACTGTCTGATATGGTAGCGCTAGCCACATTTGGCTACTGGACTCTTGAAATGTGGTTAGTGGGACTGAGGAAGTAAGCTTTTAATTTTAGCAAATTTTAATTAATTTAAATTTAAATAGTCACATTTGGACAGTGGCTACCATATTGAATACCACAGTTCTAGAACATCACTAGGTGAACACATGTACTCATTTCTATTGGGAATTATTTCTGTTATACCTAGGAGTAGAATTGCTTGGTACAGAGTGTGCACGTGCTTAGCTTTTAGTAGATATTGCAAGCAGTTTTCTACCAGTTGTGTTTAGTTGACTTATTTACATTCCCATCAGTGTTTGTGAGTTCTAGTTTTTCCACATCCTAGATAATACTTGGTATGGTCTGTTAAAAAAATGTTAACCATTAATGGCTTGACTTTTATAGGTGTCTCCATACTCATCCCACTCCCATTCTTGGCTCCTTCCAATCTAGTCTTCACAAGAGTCAGATTTTTTCAAAAGTACAAATTACGTAAGAGTAACTCTTTGCTTTAAGTCTGTTACCAACTTTCCATGGTCTTTCCAATAAAAGCCAGGATCTCATCAAAGTAATATAACTTTGGTCACTATTCCAGTATCACCACCTTCTACCCTCCCCCAACCCCATTACATTATACAACTCTCCGTGGCTCATTCAACAAGCCAGATTCTCTTTTTGCCTTTTGAACTTTGTGCTTTCATGGCTACTGTCTGGAAAGTTCTGCTTCATTCCCCCTTCTCAGCCTTTCCTGGTTTTACCTTGTGTGCCATTCACATGAGCACCAATCTTCTCTCTTGTTTCTCATGTTTTAATGTCACCCCTTTAGTGATACCTGCTCTACCCATCTATACACCCTCACCTTTAATGTTCTAACAGGTTATTTGCTTTCTCTCTTTTTCAAATATCATCACTACTTACAGTCATTCATTTGGCTATTTGTTTACTTACCTTACCCGTATCTCTCTCTCACAAAACTAGGTTATAAATTTAATGATTGTAAGGACATGTTTCTTCTGTTCATGACTCTGGCAGGGAAAATAATGCTCCCCCCCAAAGATATCCAAGTCCCAATACCCAGAACCTAGAAAGATGTGATGAGGGAAGGTTAAAGTTGCTAATCAACTGACCTTAAATAGGGAAATTATCCTAGATTACCTGTGTCAGTTCAATGTAATTACAAGGATTCTTCTAAAAGTGGAAGAGGAAGACAAAAGAAAAAATCAGAGTGAAAGGCAATGAGAAGGACTTGACCCACTGATGATGGTTTTGACAATGGAGGAATGGGGACATGAGCCAAGGAATGTGAGCGACCCTAACAAAGCAAAAAAAAAAAAAAAAAAAAAAAAGGCAAGGAGTTGTGTTCTCTCTTAAAGCCTTCAGGAAGAATAGAGCCCTGATGACACCCTGATTTTAGTCCAGTGAGACCCATATCAGACTTCTAACCTGCAGAACTATAAGATGATGAATTTGTGTTTTAAGCTACCACATTTGTGGGAATTTGTTACACCAAGAGAAAACTAATACCATACCTAACTAGAATATAGCATGTCAAAAGTAAAAAAAAAAAAAAAAAAAAAAAAAAATGACATGGGAGTTATATATGAAATGAGGGAGAGAGCCTGTTAGATTGGATGAACAGAGTTTTCATGAAGGAGATGTATTTGATGTGGCATGGAAAGATGAGCTGGATTTAGTCTTGTAGAGATACATGGCAAGATCCTTTCAAGCCAAAGATACAGTGTGTACGGTAATTGGACAGTCATACCAATGAAATGTTAAAAGGAGCGATGACTATAGGAGACTCATGACTTGTGATAGTTGAACTTACAACCAGCATTTTAATCAATATTTTTGCAAATTAAGGTTATCTGTGGTAATAACTAAAATTCACCATTATAGCCTTTATCTCTGAGGTTGACACCATCAATATGACAAGTAGGTTAGGGTCTTAATGGCCAAATTGATAACAAGATGCAAGAAGAGCATTCAGTTTTTCAAAAATTCCAAGAGCATCATAATAATGTATAGCAAACTAAGAACATGTAAATGAAAATAAGAAACTTTTGATGTGTACTATGTGTAAGAGACATGGGACTTTTTAAGCATTCTGTCATTTAATCCTCAGAATTCCTTAAAACAGATAGTATTCTTAGTGTTGTCTATAAAGTAATGATGGTACTTCTGGAATAGTTACGTAAATGTCCTAATGTCTTGCAAGTGATAGCTGGTGGAGCTGGGATTTGAACTAATGCTACATGACTTTGGAAGGCAAGTTCTTAACTAGTTAATAGGTATGTAAAACAAGCAAAAATGAGTAATGGTGTACCTTAGCTTAGTTTAGAAAGCAGTTTGAAAAAAAAATAGAAATATCATACAATCCAGTAATTCCATTACTGGGTATTTACCCAGGAAACCAAAAACACTAATTGGAAAGGATATATGCATCCCTATATTTACTGCAGCATATTTACAATAGCCAAGATACAGAAGCAACCCAGTGTCCATTGGTAGATGAATGGATAAAGAAGATGTGAGATATATAAATTATCGTATACATATCATTTATATTATATATCATAATTTATATTATATATAATATATTTACATATAACTTATATTTATATATTATATAATTTTACCATATTTAGTATATTTTATATATACTATATATGTGTGTATATATGTATCTATGCATATATATGTGTATATATTTATATCTATGTATGTGTGTATATACCTATATATGTGTGTGTGTGTGTGTGTGTGTGTGTGTGTGTGTGTGTGTATATATATATATATATATATATTTGTGTGTCTATTTGTCTAGATATCTATCTACAGGTATCTGTCTATAGATATCTATATATCTGTATATCTATATATCTGTGTATATCTGTATACATAGATAGATATCTAGATAGATAGATAGATAGATAGATAGACAGACAGACATATCTATGTATATAGATAGGTAGGTAGGTAGGTAGGTAGATAGATAGATAGATAGATAGATAGATAGAAATAACCCAGCCATAAAAAAAAGAATGAGGAAGAGAATGAAAGCTTGTCACTTATGACAACATGAATGGCTCCAGAGGGTATTATGCTAAGTGAAATAAGTCAGTTAGAGAAACACAAATGCCATATGATTTCACTTATATGTGGGATCTATAAAAAGAAACAAACAAATAAAAAAGCGGAATCAGACCTGTAAGTACAGAGAACAAATGGGTGTTTGCTAGAGGGCAGGGAGGTGGAGGGATGGGTGAAATACATAAAGAAGATTAAGAGGTACAAACTTCCAGTTATAAAATAAGTCACGAGGATGAAAGATACAGCATATGGAAGAGTCCATAGTAGTTTGATAGCACTGTAATAGCATGGTGACTACATGCTATGTAGCTACACTCGTGATGGTACCACTTGTAGTGGTAGCTACACTCGTGATGAGCACAGCATAAAGAGTTATCAGATGACCATGTTGTACACTTGAAACTAGTGTGACATTGTGTTACAACTATGCTTCAACTATGTTCAACTCTACTGTGATAAAAACAAACAAACAAATAATGATAAAGTAGTTGGAAGACTCTGGAGCAATGAAGAATGTCTTAGTTTATTTTTCAACTGACCAAAATTAATAAAGTGTTAAGTTTCTATTTCTTTGGATTGTATTTGAAGAAAAAATCCTAGTAATGGAAACAGACAATTCCTTTAGCTCAGGATAAAAGATGAAAGAGAGAAAATGGATTGTGCTTCCGGTACTTTCCCATCATCTTGCCAAAGGAGCCTTTCTCAGATCTACCAATCAGACTTCCCAATTTTACGTTAGCCCCACAACCCTATGAGTTCGTTTTGTGGTTTCAAACTTGATCAAAATTTTCATCCTCAGAGGCCAATTTAAGATCTGAAGACAACTTGCTTTAATGGATAAATTAGAGGGAGCTTAGCAAGAGTTCTACATTTTACAGAAGAAGAAACGGTATCTGGAGGAGTGAAATCATTTCCCAGGTTGTCCACTTACCATCACACTCTGCTAAATGCTGGACTCACTGTGAAAATTAGGCACGGGGTTGTCCACAGAGCCTTACATTGATTTCCTCCTCTTCAGAACAA